TTCTGGGTTGTCACTATTTTTTTTTTGCGGAGTGAATGGAGTGGAGAATATAATGGGCTATTAACCTGGGACTTCTCTTTCCGTTTGGGAGGCGAAAAAGAAAAATAAGAACTCCTGATCGCAGGTTAATGGGTGATTAACTCGAAGTACTTCATCCGCTCTTCATTTTGAGTTATCCCGTGAATGTGGATAACATTCACCTTATGGCTTGCTGGGAATCAATTCACCTCGTTCCATAGCTTGCGCAGGAGCCCTTTTTCAGGTCTGTAGGTTTTGCGGTCTGGTTTGTGGGACGTATAAGGTATTCAAATTGTTAGTTAAAACGCCGTGACAGGACTACATAGAAGCTGCTCGCTTCAGGTTATGGGCTCCTGCGTGACGCAAATAACTGGGAGCTGCAATCCAGATATTCACAAGACGATTCAGAAGACTACGCGCCATCGGCCTATTCTGAAATGGACGGCTACTGTCGAAGGCAGTTTTTAAGGTACTGTTCCTTGCGCAGCCGTCCTAAAACTTTACTGTATAATGGGGGTGAATTCATGTAAATGTCAGTGGGGAGTGAGGGTTGGTCATATTTTTTTAGTGACTAGGAAGGGTAATTGGGTAAGAGCTAGCTTTCCTTTGTTGGCAGGTGAGGTTACATATTATTACCCTAGCCCCTCCTGTCCCTTACATAATCTAATCTTTTCTTGTGACAACGCTCTGTGGAAAGAGATTCACTGAAAGCAACGTGGTATAGGTAGAAACCCCATTTAAAGTAGAAAACGAAATAGCGCACAGTCAAGGATAGTAGATGAAAACAGCAAAATAAGTAAGGAGTTGTGTTTCATAACTCGGTGCAACACAACGTCACAAGAGGACTATTGGAAAAAAAGGAAGTTTATAATTTGCCATTATCAGTATACTATTCAAGTAAATTTGCGTTACCCTATCTGTTATGATGACCACGACATTATTTGTAGTCTTAAAAAACAAGGAAAAAAATTAAAAGGAAAGTTTAAGATCTTGGTCGGCCATACATGCGTTTCGGGTAGTTATCGCTGTTATCGAAGGGCCTGCTGGTCTTACACACAAAAGTCATAATGTGTCTTCATTTGAGGCCCTTATAACCGGTTTTCATTTTTCTCAAAACGTTTATACTGCGTTAAAGTACTCCTTCGGACCGATTTAAGCCCGGCACTACTAATCTGGAAACTGGACCTCAGTAGTATAGTAGGGACTGGTTACTCCCTTTTTTGCGAGGGAATCTCATTAACTTGTGGGGGAATACATTAACGCCGATGGCGTCATAACCTTTAGTCTTTATCTCATGAATAAAATGCGGAGGAATCTCATTAAGATAAGGTCGTGTGCTATTTTTAGTTGGTTTAAAAGGTTTTACAGTTTTTTTTAGTAACTTTAAGGTCTATAATTTCGATTGGTTGATTAGAAAATAAGAAATCGCTGTAATCAGGGTCTGCAAATTAGTGCACAATAGCTTTTGCGCACTAATAGCCCACGTGCGATATTTTAAAATTCTAACGTGACTCCAAGCCTTTAGGGTCAAAGTTGCAAAATTTCACGACTCCATTGTCTCGTAATTTCCAGAAGAGACTCAAGCACAAAGAAAACCAAACCGAATATAGAAAAATGACCAGAAAGCCTTGGAGTCATGTTAGAATTTTAATATATCGAACGTGGACTATTCGCAGGCTAGACGGACTATACAATGGTCCAGGCTATGCGTACGTGGGCCGGCTGCATCGCAGGCTATGAGCGCTTTCCATTTGCCAAACTAAACCCTCATGATAAGTGGAATGGTCAAGACAAAATGGAGCGACATTGTTCTATTGAAATAACGTTTTCAATCGCATCGAAACGATCCATTTGCGTTTCGACCGAAATTTTGATTGCTGCTTAGCAAGGTAGGACTGAAAACGAAAATTTTTGGAAATGGAACGGGAAGTTTCGGTCGGACCGGAGCAACCGTCCAAGAGGACCATTTCGACCGGAAAATTTCTAAGCAGACCAAAGCGTCCCATTTATTTTTCGACCGAAATTTCCGAAATTTTTGTTATAATGGAAAGCACCCCATATTATTCCTGATGCCTGAAAGACGTAGCCTTTCGGGTGGAGCCTTCCTGCATACTGTAGGCTATTATAAGGAATGCCCCTGCCGTTTCATCTGAGGTAGAAGAAAAAGGGTCACCAGCTCGTCGTCTCGCTTAGGGGTGTAAATTTCGGATTTTGGTCTCACTTAGGGTGTTCTGGGCAAAACGCCATCATATTTAGCCGTGAGGTCTCGTTTAGGCTTACACGCGAAAAAATAATCATATAATAATCTATAACGTGGTGTCTTTTGGGGCACAAAAAAAGCTTGGGCCACACCCATAGGTCTCCTTCAGGGGTTTAATTCAAAATTCCCGACGAGCATCCCCACCCCTTTCATACGCAGAGTTCCCCCCCCCCCCGGGAATACGTTATGGGTAGGAGAGAACAGCTAAATCTGCAGCTAAATCTTGCCAGTCTCTCGATACATGGGTCAATAAAGTACCCCGTCAAGAGCCATCAGACGCTGACAATTACAGTGCAGTCTGCGATGACAGCCCAGCTGAAACCACGACTTCAGATCTATCACAGTTAACTACACTAATCATACTTATTTTTGCAATGTCCACCAGTCTTGATCCCATTATTATGCTCTGAGATTTAGACGCTATTCCTCGATCTGAAACAAACGTTAGTGAGGGAACACAGAGTAACAATTCGGGGAGGGACTGGGAGGGTTAATCGAAAGCAGCAATCCACAGGTATCCCAAACAATCAAAATAGAAGTTTTCGAGACACAAAGAGGGAAAATGCATTTTATGTTTCTCTTCGTCTCTTATCGTCATCTCCTGATGTCATGACAATATTCTATGAAAAGCCGATGTGTACTTTCTTAACAATTTCGCATTGTTTATAAACGGATCGACAATAAAAAATATATTTCAGTACTTTGGTCCACTTTGGCCTCGTTAGCACCCCCCCACATAAAATCCTGGTTATGGGTCTGTATCCAGTTGTTCAGCACTTTTTACCGTTTTAAAAAGCAACAACTGCCGTATTTCGAGTTTTGTGGAATTAACTTGCTGACCATAGCGAAACAGGGAAGAAAAATAATCAGGAGGTGAATTGACTCCCAGTAAGCCTTAGGGTGAATGTTATCCACAATCACGGGATAAATCAAGATGAAGAGCGGATGAAGTAATTCGAGTTACATAACCCGGAGCGAGCAACTTCTATGTAGTCGTGTCACAGTGCTTTTAATAACCAGTCTATTTTTAGAATAATTTTGGCTACCTTGTAAGTCCCACAAACCAGACCGCAAAACTTACAGACCTGAAAAAGGGCTCCTGCGCAAGCTATGGAACGAGGTGAATTGATTCCCAGCAAGCCATAAGGTGAATGTTATCCACATTTACGGGATCACGCAAAATGAAGAGCGGATGAAGTACGTCGAGTTAATCACCCATTAACCTGCGATCAGGAGTTCTTATTTCTCTTTTTCGCCTCCCAAACGGAAAGAGAAGTCCCAGGTTAATAGCCCATTATATTCTCCACTCCATTCACTCCACAAAAAAAATTAATGATAACCTGCTGAGCATAGCTGACAGCGGAATAGGGAACAAAAATCATAAAGAGGACTTTAAACAAACCAGAAGGGATCGGCCTATTTTCAAGAAAAAGGTTGGTACCTATGAAAAATGTGAGTTTTCTAATTTCTTCCTTTTCTAACGAGCCAAAATGATTATTAGTGTTTTGGTAACATGGATGATTGTATACTGTAATTTGGCTGTCAGAGTTTTATTATCGCTTTAGTTGTGCGCTACAGGTCAATTAAAAAACGACCGATTTTTGATTCGCTTGCAGACACTGAGTTTAGGTCAGGTAAAATAAGAAAGTTTTAGTCTTGCCCTTAGCTACTTAACAATGTTTATGGTTTTCGAAGATATTCCTGTGTTGTGTTGTATCGCATACAAAAAATGAACTTCGCTCGTTTAATTTAGAGGAGTTTGTGAGCTTCAGAAAATGGTCAAAATTTGCTTACAAAAATGGCGTCCGAAGGGGTCAAATAAAGTGATGCTCGTATCTCTAATACAAGAGCAGTGAAGAACCTGTGTTTATTATATTTGTCCATTACTCCACCTAACCTATCTATGATGTTAGTATGAGCTTATTCTTTTGACCCCCTTCCGTTGACATTTCTAACATTTTGCCCGGTTTTCTCTGACAACCACTCTGAAGAAGCTGAAAAAAAACATGCATTTTCACTCAAAATGGTTTCGGACCACCTGCTACTGTGCGTCATATCTCAGAACGATAGAAACTCAATCATCACCTAGTCTGCTACACAGTCAGGTTTTTAGTGTCGTCAGTTGGGCCTGAGCATTGCGTGATGACACTAAAAACGGCTGTGTAGCAGACTAATAATCACTAAACTTGTTTCAAACTGCGTATGAGGGATAAACGAACAGCTACTGAAAACATCAGGTGCTAATGTTTAATCGTCTAGGATAAATCCCAGCAAAAAACCTCAGAAGGGGTGATATCCAACCAAATAATAGTACAGAAAAGAGGTACGTTTAATAACCCGACCGAGGAAGACACCTTACTTCACTTCTTCTCCTCAGAATTCTTTCAGTCTGTTCGCTGCTGGGCCCGGCAGTTAGGAAAGAGTTAGTAGAAAGAAACATGCAGTGACTGAATATTTTTTTCAAATTCATTCGTTTTGAATAGTCGCAAGTCAAGAAAAAAGGAGAGAAGACTCTACGCAATATTCATATTAATATGTAGCCACGTTTATTTATCACCTTTGAATTAGACAGAATGACAACAATGTGCAGCTCAAAAGTTTTTTCGCCATTAATTGCAAATAGAGAACACCCTTCACCCAACAAGTTATTGATTAACCCTCTTCAACTTGGTGCGCCAGGAATTCTTGAAACTGTTACTTAACTGTATACACCATCGTTTACTCAATACCTTCCAATTTTATATGCACCAAGGAAGGTATGTTTAGCTGACAACCGCAACCTGCTTTCGTAAACGGTTTTCAAGCCGATCTTATCGCCCTTTTTCAGCCGGATAACTCCACCTGTGTAAACGCTGCCATCGTCAGCTTTGTTTCCGAGGCCTGTTTGCATCAAGGCAAATGGTTCTCCATTTACAGTTATTGCCACACGGTTTTGATCTTCAGGGCCGTCTTGGTAGATTTCAAAAAACACTTGGGCATAGATGTAATAGGCACCACGTTGCTTTACTTCCAATAGCCCCTGTTCAGACTTGAAACCTTTAAATACTCCATCTTTCTCAAGGTCAGACAGCCCTAGCAAAAAAAGGTAACTGTTAACCAGGGCTTAAAGGGGCTAAGTTGTGCTATTTCCCATCTCTCAGTTGAAAATCTGAAACGATCAGGTTTCGCATCAATCGAATTCCATAAGTACTTATGGTCCAGATTTGTCTTTTAAGACTATATTTACGCATTGGAACTGTTTCCTATCGTCTGATTTTTTTTATGGATGACAAGCGCATAAACATGGCTTGAAACTTGAAATAACGTTTTAATACTATTATGCAAAAATCACCCTAAAACGTTTATAATTAGTGCTCCCTGATGAAATTCATAACTCAAAAGGAGCATTTTGTTTATGGGTAAACGCACTGAACTTTACAGCAATATATCCTCGCGACGTAGCCCCCTTAAACGGTTAGCTGTTAATAACAGTTTGTCAGGTATTTTAATGCTCAAATCTTACATTTATCTGCAGAGAAGATGCGAGCCTCCGACAAGGTCCCTGAAAGTTGCGCCAAAGGTCTCTATAAGCAAAAAAAATCTACGTCTTAAATTTCCATGGATTTGGACGTCCCTGCTTGGGAAAAAACTTTGTTAACGCTTAAAAGCTTAAACCAATTCAGTAACCTATGCAGAACGGTAGATCTAAGTGTTAAGAGTGATTTTCTGTAAAATTCGAACTTTGGCCTGACACCGGGTACCTCATCGATTTGGCTGATTTTTGGCATGCAGTCTTGGAATGGTGTCCTTGACTGAATGCATTTTCTAAGGTTTGAATTTTCTTTCCATCTTTCAAAAATAAAAAGAAGTTAAGCCTGTAATTAGATCCTACCTTTCGCTAGATTAATTTGCATATAGGGAAGGTACCAATACTTCCGAAGCTCTCATTAAAAGCCAACACATGTGGCTTAAATGGCTTGACACTGGAGAAGCAGATTGCGTTAGGGTTTTTGTCTTTGATTTCTCCGAGGCTTTTGACTCAGTGAATCACTTCATTTTATTTTTAATTACAAGCTTATTATAAGAAATTGCCCATCAATCCCTACATTGTTAATTGGATCATTAATCTTTTATTTAATAGACAACAAAAAGTAATAGCTGACGGTGACACGACCCCTTTTTTAGTCTATAAACAGAGGTGTGCCTCAGGGCACTATACTTGGACCAAGCTCTCCAAGGAGAGCAAATACTCACTTGGGCCCAGGACAACCTTATGACTGTAAACCTTACTAAAACAAAGAAGATGGTTGTTAAAGATTAAGAGAAAAAAAAATGTTAGAACTACTTACCTTAGGAGACGAAGTTTCTTGTGGGCCTAAAATTAACAATCATAGATTCACTATGTTACTTCTCTTTATAGGACAGAATGAAGAGTACATCTCAGACTTGTGACCAGCGGAGGGTGCATTTGATTGCTCTCGTTTTGGAATATATTTGTAAAGAAATATCAGATTTTATTTACATGTAAAGTTTCTTTAATCAGGGTTTTTTCTTTATACTAAAGAGCCACTGCATATAATACTTTTAATGAAAGAACTGACAACACACCCTCGCGCGGAACACAGTTTGACTTTGTTAAGCCCAGCGGCAGTTTACGGTCTTTTATAAGAATCGAGGTTTTAAAGAATATCTTCAACCCGAGGTTGAGTCTTTTAAAAAGTATAGAACTTGTGTGTTGAAAATCTGTAATTACGATAGAACTTAACCGGGTAAAAAGTACACCTTTCTCTAAAGGGCAAAACTAGCTAACAAAACGAAAAATGCCTGGACTAGCTATAGCCGAATGTTCAATGAATGACTTCGATGAACAATATATGTAGTACATATGTACAGTATACAGCACGACGAAAAGGAATGAACCAAGCCGCAAAAGGTATCATTATAATATAAATTCTTTCTTTTTGAAGAAAAATACAATACTATTCTCAAGGCTTAACCCTAATCAGTATTGATAGTCAAAGCGGTTCCACCCATTGTAGAGAATTACTTTTGTGTGAATCATAATGTGTCAACGTCAGTTTAAAGATGAAGATCAGTATTAACCTATCCTGCATATTGGCACTGGTTGATCGTTGTACCCTGCTTAGCTTGCTCTCAGATGAAGCGAACACTTTAAGTCGTCTACATACAGCAAGTGGGTCACCTTAGTCCCTATAAGCGTAGAAAGCCTATACCCCTAGGTAACATTTAGTTTCCAGGTAACCGGGTTTTAGACATAAAGTGACGAGACGCGGGCAAAGTGCCTTTCCCTCGGGCAGACTCTCACTGAATCTGATGGTCGAGGAAGTCTCATTCCCCTGCTTTGTAGGAACTGAGATTCTGGTATTCCAGTTTGCACAGACGTTCCGGATCGCCCTACAGGGCTAGCTGGGGAACCGGTGTAATTCCATAATAACGTTTAGCCACTTGTGATCAACGGATAGTCATAGGCCTTCTTAACATCCACCCAAGCCATGCTTAAGTTCCGTTTACCTCGATGGCAATCCTGTGACACCATTTTACCAATCATTATTGTTGTTGTTGTTGTTGTTTTTCTTCTTCTTCTTCTTCTTCTTCTTCTTATTATTATTATTATTATTATTATTATTATTATTATTATTATCATTATCATTATCATCATCATTATTATTAAAAATTCTGTGTATAGTCTTACTTACTCTCGATCTTGACTTCAGATATATGGATTTTGTTGTCAGTTGTGTGTACTTCACATGTAATGGTCACATTGTGAGCCGTTGTTTTCTGTGGCAAGGTGCGATTTATGGTCAAGTTGCTACTGGAAATGCTTACAACCTGAATCCTCTTGTCTTCCAGAAGCTGACTTTCCGTTTTCCAACATTTCCTGTCTTTGTTACAGTAACCGATGTTTCCGTAGGCTCCTTTTACTCTCCAATACATTTCCAAGTATTTGCTTGGGTCTCTTTTGATTGCATCACAATCCAGTGTCTGAATATCACCTCTAACGGAACGCTCTTGCCGTGTTATGGCAGAACCTGAAAAATATGTCATAAAAATGATGTGATACTAACTTTAAAGGGTCTCTAAGAGTCTTTTTTTTTTCACTTCACTATAGAATTTTACCATTAAAATTAATTATTCTTTACTGATGAGATATTATACAGACAGATCCAACCCTGATATGAAAAGGAACAAAAAATAAAATAAATAAATAAATAAATAAATAAAAAATGCGGACATCGCAAAATGTAAGGTATTTATACCGATGCCATTAAATGAAGAGAGGGCGGTAAATACCATAGCTTATTTGCGTCTGAGCGTTTACGAGAGCTTCTCAGTAAGTATGTCTCAGTATGTTCACTCGATCATAGTGAGCAGGATGGGCTACTGAGTGAGTAAATTGTTGCTTTTACTTTGTTTCCTGTATTGTAAAAATGACTGCATCGATAACAAAAATGTCTGGTTTCTTGAAGGTCGCTATTACCTACACTTTTCACAGTCCCCTTTGCGTAAGATGTCTAAGATCGTCAGGATCGAGTGCTTACCGGCGCGGTACGTGTGGCCATCTTGGTTTCATATATGTACAGAGGGGACGGGCGTCGAAATTTTGACGCAGTCGGGGAAGGGAGGCGAGAAAAATTTATTTTCAGTTATTTTTACCGCTTCCTCTCAAACTGTCCCCCTCCCCCTAAGTTGATTTGAAACTCATCCAAGATGGCCGCCCGTAACACAATTCGCAATAGTGGCGGGACTGGCCTGTGAACAGTCTAGCTATTACCATGATTACACTTTGTTGGAAATATACCGGGAAAGAGAATTTCTCGGGAAAACGATACAGAGAGGAAGTTCCATTTTAGTGAGGAATTCAAGCGATCGGAGGAACACGTAAAACATCATTCCTACCTGATATGTAATGAAGCAAATTTCCTGTTGGGAGAGCATAAAATAGCAATTTAACGAAACCATGCAACACTTTCACTTTTACAGGCAAACCAATACCGATATATCAATACATTAGATTCATCATGTTAATACGTAACTGTCAGTGTATACGCTAGTCTGCCTTCGCGAGTCTCTGACAGTTATCAGACTCTTATCAGCTTTTAGACAACATAGCTCGCTAAAACAGTTAACGACCGTCTGTTTTAGATCGAGCGTACTTAATGGAAACTGCTGTAGACCGGCACTGGAAATGGCCCAACGACAATTAGTACTGACATTCCGTACATAACCTATTCTCAGGCAACGGCAAAGCGATACCTTTCATCTTTCATACAAAAGTTTTGAACTATGAAACTAGTCAGTATTTTGCGCAAAGAACTGCTACTAATAGTTATCGCTTTCACCCGGACACGCTCAAGTTGGATTCATGAAGCCCCCTTTACATGTAAAACCCTCCTAGATCAATCTATTGTAGCTATATTTCATAAATTCGTTTGATTTTTTGTAAATTCACAGAGAGTTGTAAAAAGACTGAATAACCTATAAACTGTTTCGATGAAACCTTGAAAATATCATGCTAAAGAAAGAAAGATCAACCTTAAATCGAAAGTACTTTCATATCCGTTTGCACGATCTTTGCCTGAGCCAAAACTTTGTCAATCGTTAAGTGAAAATATAGTCTCATTTATTTAATATCTGTCTTACTTGTTTTAGTTAAAAGACTGAAGATAATAGGTGACTATAAAGATCACGCCTCAATTTCGCCAGTCGACATGAGCGGAACACGTAATTTAATCCAACTTAGTCTAACCCTTGGTAAAAAAGGAAGCTGTTATATTAACAACATCAAGTCACGTTCACGTGCTTTCAACTTACCCCAAAGTAGCAATAACCATAAAGCTGAACTAGAACTCATGTTGACCTTTTTCTAAAATGATTTTTGCACTTGCTAAACAAGTTTCGCTGTTGTAATGTTTCGCCGACCAAGAATAATAAGACCGATTCTGCAAAAAGAAAAAGGGACGAATTACTTTGTCATCAAGAAATCGTAAAGTAACCCAAACGGAGCTTTCTCTTTCGAAATATTTTCTTTCTCTTTAATTTCCTCTCCTTCTTTTTCTTGCCATGCTTTAACTCAGTGAAGAAATTAGGTGTTTTAGAGTGAAAGCGATCAAGAAGCGTTTTATGGCAATCTAGAGCATTAATGTCGGTTCCAATTTTGCACCCATATTGATTATATTGTTTGAGCCTATATTTTCTTACTAAATCATTTGTGCTTCATCGTTCTGAGAGAAATAACTGCTTCTCTCGCCAAAATGGGTTCCCTTTTCAAGTTACTTAACGTACCCATTATCACTCCTGCCGCGCGACGTATTAAAAATAGTCAATTTCAAAAGGCGGTTCGTTTCTTGCTTAATCAGCTCTGGGATCTGTGATCAATAGCTAGAAATGTACCCTCTTTAATATCGAAATTCTAACGTAAGAGAAAATTGCACCACTGTAGTAGAAATACCAACAAACTATTTCAAAGTGCATTCATAAATTTGTGTTCCTAAAAACATTTTGGGTTTGCGCTGCTGGGTCGAATCCTTCGTACGTGAGTAGGCTTAATTAACCGTTATAACAACTTCTTTTTCACGTTGGGGTTTTTTCCCTTTTTATCATGGTGAGGCATCCATGCCAATATCGAGCAGCGAAAGAAAGGCTCTGACGTTGTGTTTGGCAGTATCTTTTTTAACATTGATTCAGCTAGTTTTCGATTTGCTTGCAATCACTAATAATAAGTAAGTGATCGACCAAATAATCACAAACAGCGAGAAACAATAAACAAATTATACTTACAAAGGAATGAACTGATTAATATGACTAACTTACCGTCTTCTATCCCTTTAGCGCTAGTTTTGGACTGCGCCCTAAAAGTGACTTCTTCAGTGATTCACAAGTGTTTTATACAGATGATCATGTGACGTTTCTCACCTATTGTAAAATATACCTTTACAGGAAAAAAGAGAATGCCAATATGGTTAACGAACAGTTTTTGAAAACTTCCCGTTAGAAAGTAAATGAAACTCCACTTTTGAGTTTTTTTTGGGACCACCTGACACCACCTATAATTCAGCGGAAACTTTCCAGGCCGGTAAAACTGGATCACTGTGAAAAAGAATGTTCCAGAGAGAAATGTATATAAACAGTAATGTAAATTTAAATTGTAAACATCTAATATTTACTTGGAGGCGCCTTCAACATGACCCCAGGTAAATGTACAGTTGTGAAACTGAACCTTTTTCATCATAGACAGCCCAACTCACGCGACCAGGGAATTTTCAAGCCACCAGTTGCGCTAGAGGAAGTTAGGCCGAGATTGGGCCTTTGAGGAAAGTGGCATCGCTGGTTCTTCTTCCAACGGCTGCAGGCAATCTCGAAGCGCTTAGAATTGAGTTTATGCTTGTTTTATTGCATGAAATTTGCTCGCTTAGGTTCCTTGATACCACTCGGTGTAAGTGCTTTTAATAATTCCCTTTTCGGGGACTGCTCCGAAGGACATGCTCTGTCACGCGCAACAAGTTGAAGTTACATAACATAACATAACATAACGTAACATAACATAACTTTATTATTTATATAGCGAAAAATACTTGGGTATATGATCTAATGCGCGTTACAATAAAAAATCTCAATCACCCATTATTTCCCGTATCTCTAGCTGCGTTCGACTAAAGTGATTCACATTCTGATCAAGCAGCACAAATCACTGAATTTCCTGACTGCCAGTATCTAAATACGCTGTGGCTATATGGCCGGTAACCGGTCAAGGTCTAAATGACCGGCAGTCCGGTATTTTCAATACATTTGACTTATCTAAGAATCCCAACCAATCCAAACTCTCATACGTCGATTAAGAAAAGTCAAGCGATCCTGAAATGCTTTATAGAGAACTTTTTTTTCAGGTCGACTGCCGGTCAAGGTTTTTAAAACACTAAATGACCGGCAGTCCTATATTCTTAATAAATTTGGCAGATCGAGAAAATCCCTCTAATCTAAACTATCATATGTCTACTAAGAAAAGTCAAGCCATCCTGAAATTCTTTATAGATCTCAAGTTTAGCGTTTGGTTTACGCTGGGCTCAGAAAACGAAACCATCTTTTGTGACACTTAGAACTTCCTCTTTCCTCTTTCGTCTTTCGTCTTTCGTCTTTTCTCTTTCCTCTTTCGTCTTTCCGCTGTCCGCTGTCCGCTTTCCGCTTTCCTCCCCTCTTTTCTCTTTCCCCTTTCCCGACTTATCTTGCAAAGACCGAATAGACTCTGCTAGCAGGTTAGACTGCCGGCCCTTTAGTGTTTTGACAATCTTGACCGGCAGTCGACCTGAAAAAAGTGTCACAAAACGTGATTTCGTTTTCTGAGCACAGCGTATAAACCAAACGTTAAACTTGAGATCTATAAAGTGTTTCAGGATCGCTTGACTTTTCTTAATCGACATATGCTAGTTTGGATTGGTTGGGATTCTTAGATAAGTCAAGTTTATTGAAAATACCGGACTGCCGGTCATTTAGTGTTTTGAAAACCTTGACCGGTTACCGGCCATATAACTACAGCGATCTAAATAATGATAGTGTTGCCTTCACCATTACTAAAAAACTGTATAAATTATTGCCAAATGTAACAGGACGGGGCGGTCAGCGGCAGGAACGAGAAGGATTCCAGGATTTTTCAAAGCAATTTATTTGAAACTGAAATCCATCAGCAATACAGCAACAATAAAATCAAACTAAAATAAAATAAACGCCCAAGTCACGCCTAACTTGCAAATAATAGGTGTTGAAAGAGAAACGATAAAAAACCCGATAGCAAAAACTACGCACAGGCCTCGAAACATTAACCTAAGAAAATACCAATCCTACGCATATCTAAAAGATAAGTAAGTAAAACTACAAAAATACGTGATTAAACCTAATAACTGAACAGGGAATTTGACTAAAAAATAGGGATGGTGACCTTTCTAGACAGTAAGTGTAAACCGATCTACTCACGTCTACAGAATTGCAAAATAAGCCAAAAGAATAAAAAAAAACTACAACTGTGTAACTAAAACATAATAAAACGATATATAAATCTCTTAAGGAACTATAAAAATGACTCAGTCACACAAATTCAATATGCTTTAAAATAAGAGACAAACCATCTGATTGACCTTAGATCTATTTTAATTTGTTTATTTATACATTGTACCGTAACCATTAAACTCACGGTGAATGTATAAGGATATATTTCGTGTAAGACCTGTAACTCTGAAGTGTCTACAAATCAAGTACATTTTCCACCGAAGACTGAATTTCTTGACTGTCAGTGTCGAAATAATGATGGCATTTCGTTCAATGTAACTCAAATGGTATAATTTAGTGACAAATATGCTTTAAAAATGAGAGACATATTGACCAGCTGATTGACCTTAGATCAATTTAAATTTGCTTATTATACTGTACCGAAACTATTAAAACTCATCGTCAATGGACAAAAATGTGGATTTGATCATGATTAATCAACAGGAAGAGGAACAACTAAGATCACAGGGCGTTCCTAATATCATATTAGGAATAAAAGGAAAAGTATTCCCGCGATGTACATCTCGTCAATGCTCAAGCTCAGTAGCCGGAAGTGGTTTTAATTTCTTTATCGATAGAGGGGTAGAGAGAATGAACTGGAGAGAGTGACATCCTGTATTCAATGATTAAA